AAAAAAAAAAAAAAAAAAAAAAAAAAAAAAAAAAAAAAAAAAAAAAAAATACTTCCATTCTAACTCAACCACTGAAAATATAATGATTCCCTCATTTACATTCAATGTTTCATTTCCATGCTAGAGCATTGCAGAATAGCTCCCTCTAAAAAATATTAAAATATTATTATTTTTTTTTTTAAAAAAAAATTCATAACCATTTTCATTAAATTTGACCACATACGTCTCCTCTTTGATCTTCCTTCTTACTATATCTTCAAAATATAGAGAAAAAGACTATTGATTTTAGAAGTAAGATCTGTAAAATATGCCAACGTTAAAATCAATATGTACACACAATAATTCCTAGTAGGAAACACTTTATCCTTCAAGCTTTAACACAAGCATACAATAAAGATGGAAAACATAACGGCATGGTATGAAGAGAAGGATAAGTTGTCATATAGGATATAAACACTCAAGCCATGATATTGCTTCAACTTAAAATCCTTTGCTGTAAGCCTAAAGATCCTCGAAGGCCAATCTTTTTCAAAAAGGGGCCTCGAGGCAAATGCCTTAACATCATATAAAAATGCTACATATCATGAAACTTTGTGCGAGTGCGAGTGGGTGAGAGAGAGTTCTCTATGCGCTTTGTTAGAAATGAGGGACGGATATACCCACAGGTTCATTCAAATACTTTTCGTAATCCTCATCCGTGTATTTGACAATTTCAACAGACTGCACAACATTCAAAGCAGAAAATATATTTGATTAATAATAACAAAATTTTAGATATGTGCACTTAATTATTCAATAAATGGTTATAATTGTTGAAAAAATAAAATTATCAGCGAGTTCTAGGATACATTCTAATTGCAAGCAAAGTCAAAGGAATCGACAAATATAGTTTAAAAAATTAATATTTAAGAGTGTGAAGCTTATGGCCAGGGATCCTATAAGAAACTTCACCATTCTAATAACATTCAAACCCAAAGATCATCTGTTCACAAATGTAAGGTTTATTTTGAGAGAGATCATGCTTCAAACTCTGGGATGGACAGACAATAAGATGTTGGAAAAACAAGTAGATGAATAGCACTGTTAGTCATTTTACTTCCTGGAGTGTACGCACCTGCCAAGATGATAGAAACCAAAGAAATATACTAATAATGGTGAATACTCAAGCCTAAACCAACTAAACCAATGCATACCTCCTTCCCTTCCAACTCCCTCTATGCATAACAAATCACTCTTACAACTTCCCTAGCTAAGTACTAATATACTCTTAATAGCCTAATAATATTTCTAGTTCTATCCTAATAACGTTCCTATCACAAGGGTAAGAACCAAAGTATTGGGTTATTGGAGTAAATAATCAAGAGGGTCAATGCACGATTATAAGGGATAATGAGTGAGAAAGAAAAGAGGAAATGGAGGATCTTTTCCTGAGACTTGGAAAATTATATCACCAATATTTCCATAATTGTGAAGCTTCCCACGTAACATAGGGCTAACAATATTTTCAGTCTACCAAAAATGCCAATAAAATATCAAAAGTGTCAACAAAAACATCACTAATATAAACATAAATACTGATAATAAAGATTTATAACACAAGTGTGGAATACTAATGTAACTTTTTTTTTTCATTTCCAAGATTTTTTCAAGAATGTCCATCAACATCAATATTTTTCCATAAAATTGAAACTTCAGAATTTAATTTCTTGCACACAACCCATAGAGAGGGCTTCAACCATATATATCTTGTAAAGTGACCAACATATGAACAAGCAAATAATTGGCATGTTGGAATCACGCAGAAGGCAATGGATGTTAATGGGTATATCAAACTTTTCGTTTTCATAAAAAATGAAAGACATGTTAAATTTCAAAATTTAAAGAGTACAAAATAACAAATCAATAAATAAAAAGGAGGACTTGCTCTTACCTTGTTGTACTTTGCAAAGGAATAATCACCTGTTGGTGGAATGCCATTTACAACTCTAACCTACAAATGAAAAATAGGAATATGACTTTGAACGATAACAAAAATCAATTGAAATAGACACGATTCATAAAGGTGCCAAATCCTACCCAATGGTAAAGCTGCAAGTTATCTTTTCTAGCAGAATTTGCAAAAGGAAGCCACTGCCACGTAATCTGAAGAAAAATCACAAGAACACTATAAGAACAGTCTGAATTCATTTTTTTATATACAAAAACCAAGTTCGTGAATGAATATGCAAGGGCAAACAAAAATACAAGGGTAGTCCACTCAGAGAAAAAACTTAACTCCAAAATAATCGAACAAAGCTGATAATTATAAAAATCTTGAGTAGTAGAAGCCCAAACAAGATGTTAAATCTAACACTATCCCACACCTCAACGAAAGATCGCTCGACACCTCTAAAAATTCTACTACTCTCGGGTCAAACAACCTATGAAACAGGCCTGCCATAGAACTCCTCTAGCATGAAGCAAAAGCCTCTCTTTCATGCCAAACGTAACCTGAAAAACTCCAAGACCAGATCCCATCTAAATTCAATACAAGATAAATATATATTTTTAACACACTTATGAGCCAATTATGAGCCAAGCAACAAGTGAAAAGGCAACATAGCAATTGAAAATCCACATTAATTCGATAACACATTGAAGCCTTCAAATAAAATGCGCTTCCCACATTTCTCACATCAGTACAGAGGACTATAACAAACAGAGTCCTCAATTTCAATATTCAATTCACCATTTTCCAGCCTTCAACAACATAATAACCGATGATAACACGTATTGCACTAAACGAAATAACCTTTTCATCTGATGGAGGTCGTTTCTTCAGCTCAGATGTATCGATTGCCGGCATAATAGGAGCCAGACCACCAGTAAGCGCATAAACCTAAAATTCAAAAACCCCACCATTACTACTGTAAGCAATAAAACCAAGCAACAACAACAACCATACAAACACACAAGCACAGAGAAGACATTACCTCGCGGGAAATTCCATCTCGCTTTCTCTGGGCATCTTTCTGAGCCCTAGGTTTCTTCTCTTGGGGTATATGAGGCGTATTTTTGGGCAAGCCCAAGATATCCTTGGCATCCATATCAGACTTCCCTTGAATTCTAGGGCTTCTTTCTACTTCGCAATGCCGGATAATACGAGTTCACAGAGTCGAAATTTTTACAGAGTACTGTTACTCTGGATCCTAATTTCATCGAATGGACACCATACGAATAGGATTTCGATACGACCAATTGAAGAAGATCGTTCTTGTTTCATTTTTTGAGCATCATTCGAGCGCAAAAGCACAGTGGAGCAGAGTAGTTATTATCGGAATTTCTTAATTGACGTGTAGGTGACGAACAGCCAAATGAGTGAAATTTTACGGGAGAATTCATTATCTTATTTAATTAATGCTAAACTATATGAAAAAAAAAAAAAAAAAAACCTAACCTATGGTTTTATTTTAAAACTAAATTAATAAAAACATCGTGTATAAAAAATATTCATAAACTTTCAAAAGTTTCAATAATATCTGCATATCCCAGGTCTTTCAAAAGTTTTAATAATATCTGCATATCTCAGGTCTTGCACGACGATCGTAACAATCAAGCTTTAAATAAGGTTTTGGAATGAATTAGATTTCTCTCATTTCTATGGATGATATTGAGGTACAAACCGACGATGTCTAAGGTATGTTATATTTTCACGTGTCAATTGAACACAGATCATAAGTTCTCTCCAAAAAACTAAAAGACGAGTCATCTCCACTTGAGCTAAATGTTTCAACAAGGCTATCACCTTTCTTTCACTCTCCTGCTTGGCCGGTAAGAAAGACTAATTCTCCTATTTCTTATTTGTAAACTCAATCCTCAACTCTCGACTCAAGATTCATTCTCAATCACTACTGAACGAACCTAATGAAAGAGGGAGGGTAAACTGGATTATTCTTCTTTTCTTCCCCTATTTCTTCTTTGTAACCTCGGTCTCACTGCTGCGCACCTTTCCTATTCATTCTCCTTTATTTACTGTCGAGCTACTTATTAATAATCGATCCTTCAATCCTGAACCGGACCGGAAGCTTCTTTAACTCCGTAACCCTTGACTCTATTCCATGACCTACACCTTCTTGCTTGAACTCCTTCACCTTCAAACACTGGATAAAGCTATTTTATGGTCCTCAATGAACCTTGCTAGCTTGGATTCATTTTTATCTCTACTCTCATTAGTGTACTGTATGTGAGATCCCATATCATTTGGAGAAGGGAATGAAGTATTTTTTAAAGGGTGTGGATACTATTAGAACACAACTCTATGTTGGAAACAGTCCCACACTTTATTAACACCAATCGAGAAGAGATTCACAAAACCACTTTATTAACACCAGAGAGATTTACAAAACATTCGGTAGAAACTACTATTTTGTATTGCTTGTGATCTCTTGGGATGATAAACTAAGTAGAGTGGAGGGATATTAGATGACAGGCAATCAATTCCTAAAATTTCTAAACGTTTTTCGGGAGAGTATATAATCATTTTACTAAAGTTATTCCTAAAATCCCTAAATCATTTTCCTAAATTTATTCTTATAATCCTAAATCATTTTCTTAACCCAAATATGGTCACTCATACGATCGTAAATCATTTTCTTAACATAAATATAATCTCTCATATGATCGTAAATCATTTTCTTAACATAAATATAGTCACTCATACAATAGTTGGGTTTAACCCTATTAGGCTAGTGATATATTTTAACATTTCCCTCAGCACTAGTTCTCATTCGTTGCACCATGTTGAGCTGACAGCGAAAACTCTTATGTTTGCCAGTATTCAGCCCTTTTGTAAACAAGTATGTCACTTGATCATCTGTCTTGATCTGCTACATCTCAATTTCTTCCTTCAAGACTTTCTCTCTAATGAAATGGTAGTGTACCTCCACATGCTTTGTTCTAGCATGAAACACCAAATTTTTTGCTAGACGTATCGTAGAGTGAAACCCGAGTTCAAGGGATCAAGAGCAGTGAAAGAAGGTTCAGTCAATTTTCTGGTGCCAATCTTCCATCAAGAGTTTCAACAATGTACTTTCCTGAGCTGCTCCAGTCGCTGCTTTGTACTCTGTTTCTCTAATAGATAATGATACTGTTGGTTGTCTTTTCCTACACCAAAAGATTGTTTTCGAACTGAGCTTGAACACATACTTGATACTTGACCTTCAAGTATCGTGATAATGTTTGACATATCTCAAGGTTCATCGAGCTGCATCCAAAGGAAGCTTCTTCAGACTTTGCATGTACTGACTAATGACTTGAACTTCATTCTCAAACCCATTTGGTTGGTTCATGTAGATCTCTCGGTGCAACTCTCCATGCAAGAAAGCATTATTCATATCCATCTGCCATAATTTCCAATCTTTATTTACCGCAAGTACTGGAGGAACTTGTACGATAATGATCTTTGCCACTGAACTAAACGTTTCATCATAGTCTAGTCCATATTCTTGAGAGAACCCTCGAGCTGCAGGTTGAGTCTTGTATCTTTCGATTGATCCATCCGAGAGACACATTATTTCGTAAGCCCACTTGCAAGAGATGAGTTTGGTATCTCTTGGCCTTGGCACTAGTTCCCAAGTTTGATTTTGTTCTAGGGCTATAATTTCTTCCTCCATCACTTTATGCCAATCTGAGTTTTGTGATGCTTCTTCATATGTCTCCGGCTCATTAACTTCGTCTTCTACTACGTTGGCATACTCTGGATTTGGCTTTAGGATTATTTCTGAATGTCTGAGTTGTTGAGGTGTCATTTCATTTTCACTAGGTTCGCTTGGTTGAGTCACTTCTTGCTCACCAACACTAGTGTCACTTGAATCTTCAGGTACAGCACTTAAGCAAATGTGTACAGTTTGCTCCCCCGTCTTCTGTGGAAGAATCTTTTCAGTTTGCTCCCCTGTGTTCTGTAGAAGAATTTCTTCAGTTTGCTCCCCCGTGTTCGGTAGAAGAATTTCTTCAATTTGCTCAAGGTCTGGTAATACTTCCTTCTCTAAGGGTCACTCCTCTTCCATTGCACCACTTTGATCATCAATCATGTGGTTTGAGCATCCTGAATCAATAATCCAATCATTCTCATAATCGATATGGTCTCTCATCATCGCCATGAGTGTTAGCTCATCTTCTTCTATGGCATAGAGTACCTCTGCATCCCATTCCTCCTCCATCTCCATGTTGGAGAATGCTACTGTTAGATAAAACCTGATTTTTTCTTATTTAGATTCACACGATTACATTCATTCTCCGTTTGACCATTTGACAAACACGTCGAATGGATTAACTAAGTTTTAGACGGCAATTTAGTAGGAAGTGGCACAGATTCAGTTGGCCACTCTCCAGCCATTTTTAGGATAGGTTATATTTAAATAGGAAATCTGTTCACAATATTTTCACAACCTGAATTAAAGGCAATATTTTCACAACCTGAATTAAAGGCAATATTTTCACAACCTGAATTAAAGGCGCAGTCAAAATTTCATCATTCTCTCTCTTTCTTATTTTACGCAGCCATCGGTGTATATCATTGCGGAGGAGCCAACCTATCAACAATCAAGTTGAATAGCTCAAGTGGCTAGAGCGTCGACCTAACAACACACAGGTCTCAGGTTTGAGTAGAAGAAAATGCAAAGCGTAAAAATAAACACATCACGTCGCCAAGTGCCGGCGCCATAGAAGAGGCTGTGGCCGGCGCCGTGATGACGAGCGTCCGGCTTTCACTTGTGTAGAGTGTTTCTTCTTCACCCTTCAATGTGATATCTCTTATTTGTTTAGACATGGCTTCTTGGTTGGCTAACAAATTTTCGGACTCTACAAGTGATGGTCGAGTGGACCATCCTTGTACAACAATAACGAAACTTCGATATTCTGGTTGCAATCTGTGGATTATGATCTACCATCCTTGTACAACAATAACAGAATCCTCTTCATTCGAGATTCTACAATAGCAGACTTTGGAAGTATTGAGCAATCGCCATGTCACGTTGTGAAATTGACAACAACTCATTCTCCAGAAGTTGTAGTCTTGTATCGTTCTTCTTTGAGAACAACATCACGAACGTGTCTCAAGCTTCTTTCGGCGTCATGTCACGTTATGATCTACCATTAGAATCCTCCTCTGGCGGCGTGGTTTCGCACCAGCCAACGATCTTCCAAAGATCATGTCCTTGTAAATAGGACATCATGCATGTTGCTCACGTGTTGTAGTTGTTGTTGTTGAGTTTCTTGATTCCTCCAACGATTTGGAAATCACCCATCGTGTTGGCTATACCTTAGTAATACCAAACAAGCTCCTCAACACAAGACTTGCAGAGTCACAGACTACTTATGACACAAAAGAAACTCACTCACTACTAATCTCAAGAAATCGTTTCTGATGTGGAAGATCTTACAGAGCTGCAATCACAGAGCATACTAAGAATTCCAAGAAATTGACAACTTACACTAATCTCGCTCTGATACCAGATTGTTGAACACAACTCTATGTGGTAAACACTCGCACACTTTATTAAGACCAATCGAGAAGAGATTTACAAAACACTCTGTAGAAACTATTTTGTATTGCTTGGGATTTCTTGGGATGATAAGCTAAATAGGGTGGAGGGGTACACTCGCACACTTTATTAAGACCAATCGAGAAGAGATTTACAAAACACTCTGTAGAAACTATTTTGTATTGCTTGGGATTTCTTGGGATGATAAGCTAAATAGGGTGGAGGGGTACACTCGCACACTTTATTAAGACCAATCGAGAAGAGATTTACAAAACACTCTGTAGAAACTATTTTGTATTGCTTGGGATTTCTTGGGATGATAAGCTAAATAGGGTGGAGGGGTACACTCGCACACTTTATTAAGACCAATCGAGAAGAGATTTACAAAACACTCTGTAGAAACTATTTTGTATTGCTTGGGATTTCTTGGGATGATAAGCTAAATAGGGTGGAGGGGTACACTCGCACACTTTATTAAGACCAATCGAGAAGAGATTTACAAAACACTCTGTAGAAACTATTTTGTATTGCTTGGGATTTCTTGGGATGATAAGCTAAATAGGGTGGAGGGGTACACTCGCACACTTTATTAAGACCAATCGAGAAGAGATTTACAAAACACTCTGTAGAAACTATTTTGTATTGCTTGGGATTTCTTGGGATGATAAGCTAAATAGGGTGGAGGGGTACACTCGCACACTTTATTAAGACCAATCGAGAAGAGATTTACAAAACACTCTGTAGAAACTATTTTGTATTGCTTGGGATTTCTTGGGATGATAAGCTAAATAGGGTGGAGGGGTATATACGATAGACAA